AGGCTCTCTCACATGGCACAGCTGTTGGAGACAGCCCTGAGCAGCTTTGGAGCTGTTACAGAAAGCGGCAAGAAGCCTCAACATCTGCTTCTTCCGTTTCTTTTGGGAGCTACGTTTACACTGAGGCCGTTGCACGCTTGCCGAGTGAGGCTGCGGCTGTGCCTTGTGGCTGGCTACGTTCCTCACTGATCCACATCCAGACTGCTGACTTGATGTCCTCCTTGGCCTCATGCCTGCCTCATCGCCATGGTCTGGCCTGATGATCTGGACTCTTGGCTGAACCTGGTGACCGTCAGCAGAACTGCCCTGCTTGTGTGCTTCAGTGCTTTACCTCTCGTAAGCGAGGCAGCTGCCCCTGCCGACCTTGGCTTGCTCTCCCTTATGGAGCAGCCTGCTTTTGCTGCTCCTCAGCACCAGCCTGCTCAGCTCTGGCAAATAGGAGGTCTTTCTTTTGGTGCTCCAAAGCATAACTTCTTTCAAGTAGAACTTCAAGATCAAAGCAGATGTCTCTCCAAAGTAGGCTACAGCTGAGACAGGATCTGCACATTTACAGGTTTGGATTACAACTTGACCTGTTTTGGAGAAGGTACTCCTTTTCCTGAATTAGGTCCTATTTTGCCTGCCAACACATGATTCCTCTATGCAAACAAATGCCATTAGCTCATGCATCTTTCACTCAAGTTAGCTGTCTAGGCCTTCATAATCACTGGAGAGAATAAGGCAAGATTTATATTATCCCAAGGAAGATGTCTAAGATTAGGTGAACTCTGCACTTTAAATGACTATTTCTCTCCACTGATACATGCCAGGCTAGTCAGAAGTCTTGGGTGGAAGCATCTTCACTGAGGACACCTAAGGGATAAGTGAGCTGAATGCTATTCCAGGCCCCATTATATACTTTAACGCTTAATGCCTGAAAGCCGTGGTAGATTTGTATTTAGAATATATTTACATCCAAGAATGACTAGTATCTTCCACACAGTTCAGAGGGAAAAGACTTTTTGAAAATTAATGTCCAGCTCCATGCTTAGATTTCAGATTCAGACTTTCTTAGGGCAAGGGGCTAGATCCAGGGGATCACAGTCCCTTCTTTCCTGCTTGTGATTTGCCGATGCGTCACCAGGCATTACGTACTTGGCAAGGACACCCCCCATCTCCTAGATCCCAACATATGGCCACAGAAGAGACAGTCAGGGAGGGCTGTGGGGCTTAGGATATTTCTGGCTTGTATCTGAAGACTGCAGCCAGCTGGCTTCATTTACCAAGTTTTCTAAATCTAGATAATCCTACTGCCAGATCCAGCTTTTGTGACTTTTCCATCCCTCCTGCTTCACTTTCCTTGGAGGAAACGGGGAACAGCTGTTTGAACAGCAGATGCAGCCTGAATGGCCAAACATCCTCTGTTCTGTGCTCAGCCCACAGCAGTGAGGTGATGGCTGCTTCTGCAGAGGGAGAGGATGCGAAAGGAGGCAGCTGATAAGGTAGCACCTCTCTCCTCCTACCCTACAGCAGCAAAGGCAGTTCTGCAGCTTTCTGCAGGAGTAGGGATGAGGTGTGGGCTGGGGTGTTGCAGGCAGTAAGGGATAGAGAACTGATTAGTTGCTGGGGGCCAACACCCTACTTCAGTCCATCTGCTGAGGTCAGAGCATCCTGCATTCAACTATACAAGACCTGAGGTCAGCTGGGATTTGACATCATCTGCTAGCAATGTCATCATAGCTCTTTGAGTTCCTTCCCAACATTTTGCAGTCCCATTCCTTCCCTTCTCTTCCACCCACAAGGAGTGGGTACAGATGAGAATGAGTACTTTACAGCTGCCATTTGTAACATTGTCATATCATTAACGTGAAAACATTGGAAAGGAGCTTTCTCTTGATCTGGAGGATCAAAGGATTAAAAAGCAGAAATCTTCAAATCTCACAGAAAGAGTAAGTGGGTCATAAACCCCCATTCTGCAGTCTGTAAACAGAGCATTTTGTAATGCAATAACTAATAATATAACTAAAGTAATAATAATACATATAATGTGTTCTGATGTTGTTTCTAATTAAATAGCAGAATACTATAGTCTTCTTTCACTCAATTCTGTCATAATACAGTTTTAATGCATATACAGATGCTGTTTCATAGCATGATTTCCTAATAGCACCATGTTGTTATGTTAACATCAAATAGTTACTGGTGATCCAATTAGGTAGATCTGGTGACAATGCTTTCTTGCAGACCTTTTAATTCAGTTCCAAACTAGCTACTTAAGCTACGCTATTTATGGCAGATGGGTGCCTCACATTTAGTGTATTGGGGGGGGGGTGTCAGAAAGTTATAGCTAATGCAGTTTAACTGTCTCTCAGAAGGCAGATAAAGAAAGGAATATATTATTTTTGCCCATGTTTGGAGAAATCATGCCATTATCTCATATAGAAATGCCTGCCTCATATAGAAATGCCTTAAAATTTGGCACAAGGTACAAGGACGACATCAGAACTGTACAGGCAGCATCAGTGCACACTCAACAGGGTTGAGTTCCTTGTTGTGTACAGGGCGGGTAAGATAGGTCAGAGGAAGGGCATGCTACCATCAAGAAGTTTGGGGCTAAGGACGATGATAAAGGCATTTGCTACAGGAAACCTTGATGATTAAACTCTTCCAGGGGTTTATTGTTTGGCCTGCTGAAGCCATCTGTGTCACTCAGAGAGCTAGTGCTACCTCAGGCAGTGAAAGCCTCCTGAAACTTCTTTGCACAGGCCACATTTCGTCTCTCACACCTATTGCTAGTGGGGTTGTCCATCCATCCTTCCCCTCAAGCACCTCTCGTGTTGCCAGGGGGCTGCTGTGTTGCAGCATTTGAGAATGTATAGCAAAAGCATTGTCACTTCTGTGCTCAGAGTGATTTCCCCGCTGGCATCCAGCTTGTTGGAAAACAGCTGACCTCAGACACACGGAGATGAAGAGAGGGGAGAGTACTGGAGTTTGGGGAAGAGGTCTCACAAGCATGTGAGGTAAGAGATGTGAAGGACAGGAGCTAGGGAAGATGCAGTAAAAGGAGCAAAGAGAAAGGTGAAAAGTTGAAGGGGACAGAGTATAAGTGCAGCATGGCTTTTATATCAATGTACTGTTTCTAGTTGTGGAGGCAATTAGGGTTTGGGAGCCTCTGTACTATGCTGTGGTGTACAGTGGAAGCATGTCGTTGGCATCTTTCATAAAATCTTCACAAGCAGGGGGACAGTAAAATCCCCAAGTCTCAGTGCTGGTTCCTACTAGTTTTGGCCAAGGGATTGAAGCCCGCATGACAGATCTAAAGGTCAACCCCCTGCTGATGACTTTTATATCAAGGAATACAGTTCTGCATGACAAATTTTCTTCCTCGTTTTTCATTTAAAAAAAAGCAAAATAATTGCATTAAAACAAAGAATCAACCAGGTGCTAAGGTTAAAATTTCAGTCATGCATCTAACTGATCAGTAGAAGCATTTATATATGTGCTAACAATGTAATTTCTCTAAGTATGGGTAAGATAATATTTATTTCCCCTTGCCTTTTTGGAAATACTTACACTGAAGGTTGCCTGTGCAACCCTTATTAGTCACTTTGTGCACATTACTGTAATAGACTTTCATTGCATGAATGCATATTCCTTCTTCCGTAGTCCCCTCTGTACCTTGCAGCGCACAGGGATGCTGTTGATAAATTGCTATAGCTTGTAAAGCAGTAAGTTTTACATTCCTAAATTTTAGTTTCTCTGGACTAGAAAGGGATTTGTTCTCATAGTGATAACGAAGAACTTATTTTAATATTACTTCTGTAGCAATGCTCAGGTATCCATTGCATTTTAGAGATGGACAAAAAGCCAGTAAAATCAGTCATTGCCCTCAGCCAATTTTTTCCCTGATTTTGAGGTGCTTAGCATTCGCTTCTGTTGTTCAATGCAGAAGGCTGTGTTGTGACAAGAAAGATTTTCTGTGACTTGTACAGCTGAAAATATATCACAACAACTAGGGCAGCAGCTGGGCAATGCATCATGTGTGGGGTAGCAGCACTTCAGCTGAGCCAAAGGTTAAAGGTGGTACTGCCCCCCATATATCCTGGGACGGTGGCATCCCTGGGGTGGATTAGGTCTTGCTCTGGGAGAATGGCCTCCAGAGGGAAGGCAGAACTTTGTTGGCCAGACTTTGAATTTGATTAGCAACGGATGAAATTAATGGTGGACAAAAGCTGGATCACATTTTCAGAAAACAGGCAGTATGCAAAACCAAAAAAGGCTGATAGAGCTACTTGGTTCTTATAGTTTTCTTCAATTTAATACTGTGTTTAAAGTTTAAAGAACAAAAAACCCCTCCTCTCTGAAATTGCAAGTTTTCTCCAAAAATAGAGCTGGTGAGAAAAATGTGAACTGACTTTACCAAAAATATCATCTATGTCGTGAACAAGTCTCAACTACATTAAAGCAAAGAAGCTTGATTACTGTTCCCCTCTCTGGTACTGCTGCTGTTCGGTGGGGGCCAGCATTTCACAGGGAAGGATGCAGACCAGTGAGAGCCTGCTGTTCACATAAAGTGTGCTGGACTGCCTCAGGGCTTTCCCAAACCAGTTTTTCCTGCAGCACTAGATAACACCACATTATGATCCTGACAGCATGGATAAGCAAGGAGGAAGGGGAAGGACACCACAAGCTTACAGAGCAAGCAGTGGGCCACTGCTGTCCCCTCTGACTTGTCCATTCAGGTTCTGCAACACCAGAGTCTGGATCTTGGGAGTTCCTTTTGCTCCTGCTGCACAACCAACAGCTCTCATAGCTTTTCCTTACCCTCTGAGAGGGCAGATCAACCCTATCATTGGTGGTCTTGTAATCCATTTTACACCCCATGCATTTTGAAGGCCTTTCCCTACGGCCTCTCTACCCTTCAGTAGGTCAGTCACAAGGGCTGGCCCTTGTCTGGCCCTATACATCTTAACTGTACAGTTAAAATAGTCATTTTCTGAGTCAATACCAGAGTTTCTTACCTTGAGCTCCTTGACTGTAAAACAGTCTGTGAGCAGACTCGACATCCAAAAAGTAGTCCATTTTGAAGGAACTTTATGTTTGTGTACAATACTCCAGTATGGAAGATCAGTCAGATTCCTGGGAAAGATCACAGAGATGTCAGACAGAAAAAAGCTGGTGAGTTTCTTTGTGGAAAGAATTGTGTAGGCAGTCACTGAAGTACTTCATTTGGCATATTGGGGTCAAAGCCTTTTCAGATCACTATTCATAGAACTTCACAAGTATCCTATTCTATTTTAAGACGTTTGGTTTAAATCCTTGTCTAAAGACATAAAAGAAAAGTCCTACTGCAGTATTAGCAAGATTCCTAGTACCTTCCTAGCACAATCACCTTTATTCTAGCCACAATCTCCATCTCTTACAATACATACTTAAATTCACCTGCCTGTTACATTTACTTTTAAAAAAAGATCAGAAAAGCTTGGGGCAGGGACCTTCTTTAGCCAGATCCACGGCCAGCACCTCTGAGTAGGCACTACTGTAACGGACTACATTAAAGATAACATTCGTGTCACTTATGCCAAAACACTGCACTAGAAAAGAAGACACAATATTCTGCATATTTCATTCCACCTAAATAACCAGAAGCCAACCTTGCCTTCCCTCTCCCCTCTTACTGACCAGAAGTAGCAACAGAACATCCCGCCATCAGTTTTAAAATATGTGATCAGAGCAATCATTAAGAAATGGTAGGCTACTCCTACCAGTGCTTCTTAGCTAAGGTTTATATTTTTGGCGTTCTTCTGAACCTCAGATCTGTCTAGATCCTAGATTACAACTGTCCAAGATGTACACTGAATCGGGTGTGCCTCTGCCGGGCAGAGTTCCTGGGATTATGCACATTATCGTGATCCTTCTCCAGCCTTCTTGCTACCTTCTGCATTTTCTTCTACTCTGAACAACTCACATAAAAAACAGGATTTGCAGAAAACACACAATCCATCTCTCTCTTCCACACTTCAGTTAGCTACAGCATATAATCATAAGCATACAAACAGCTCTGCACAACATGTATTTTAAGACAGACAGACAAAAATACCTCCGGTCCTTTTCCGTGCAAACCTAACAAACAGAAAGGTTTGGGGCAGGGAGTCTGACCCTTGCTTCAAGCAATTCCTTTAATTATGTTGGCAAAAATCAGGAAAACAGGGTTCCAAAGCTTTCCCTTTTTCCTTCAATTTGGTTTTCATCAATCAACATGCAGTCCCCTCTAAAATTCAGAAGCCTGTCCTGATGAGAAAACTTTTAAAATTCCTTAGCAATTCGCTTTACTGTAGCACTCCCAAAACAGAAATGGTACTTACTGCAGAGTATCAAGAGCTGCCTGGCAGTGGTGTAAGCTCCAGTAGTTTCAAGGAGGGTTTCTTTGATCTTACTAAATGTCCCCAGTGTAAGCAAACAATTTTGATTGTTTGATTGGAACTCTGATGAATAATGCATAACGTCAACTGGACTTCCTTTATCAGATAAAAATGGCCAGGAGATGTTGTTACTTAGCAACAGGAGGTGACACTACGATCATCTCCCCCACTCCCCCTCACCCTTCGTACTGAAAAATTAAGCCTCTGGTTTTGATTTGATAAAAACTTTCCCAAGAAAAAAAAAAATCTACATCAAGTTTCCTTAAGAATTTGTTTTTCACTCAGATCTTCCTTGTTGCATCTCATATTCTGAGATATTTTTAAGTGTTTCATAATGATTAACTGTAACATTGTGTTTTGTCTAATAATTTGCTTTCAGTAAGTAAAATACCTACTTTCTCCATCATTTACCACAAGGTTAATGAGATTGTTAAATGTTTTGCTATGAATATAATGCAAATAACATCTTGAAGAGATTAATTTCTTATCTGGTACAGCTTGTTGGACAAGGCAGACAGAAAAAGCAACACACAAAATGTTCTAGTGATGCTATGAAATATATAGATTATCCAGAAACCTTTCCTATTACAGAATTCCTACTTTAAGTAATTCATTCATTCTTGAAGGAGCTCTAATGTCTGATACAAGCATTCTCGAGGAATCATTGCGTTTCTGCTTAAGATACAGCCTCTTACAAAATACATGATGTAGCTTTTTTCAGGAAATATGCATTGATAAAAAGCCAAAGCACTGTGAAAGATTTTGAAAATAAATAAATAAAATCAGATGCAGGAGATAAGTACTTACCAGTGTTACTGACCTCTTTCCATCCTACTGTCATGGAATGAGACTAAGCAAATGCAACCCAGTCTGTGAGCCAGAATGAACAGCTTCTAATTTTCACTTCAACCTCGAAATCAAGAGTACTGAATAGAGAAAGGTGACGGATCTGCTGTTTTATATTATGATGAAATGAAAGCTCTTAGCACAGATCTGAGTAGAACTGCTTTTTTTTATACTACATTAGCCTGCTAATTTGAGGAAAGTGAAAGGCTTTGTTTTACTGTCTTTTATCTGTTCTCTTTGCTACCCCCACAATTTAATTTGCATTTAAAATTATTCTTATGTCTCCACTGCACTCCAAGGTATGGAGCATTTTCTAATCACGATGAATGTTCAGTGTGGTTTTTGTGCAATGCCACTTTTATTCTGAGCCAGAAACATGGTGAGTAATTATAATTGCCAGCTATTTTCTAGAATGAAATACAGAGTGGTTGTCTGATGCAGTTTCTGATTTTTCCTCCATTTAGCAGTACATTGCAACAAACTACTCAGTCAAAGCATTAGTAAAAACATAAATCAAATAGCACAGTGTCATGGCATGATAGCTTAAACATGCATATCCGTAGACCGTGAAAGCAGAATATGTTTCTACCAAGATCTTTTCAATTATAATTTGCCTTTCCTGAGTTTGAAAGTGGGTTTGGATGGTTAATAAACTAAAATATAGCACAGTTATCTCCTGGTGTCTTCCAGTTCATCTAGTTTAGCATTATTGGAGCTGCACATTGTTCAGAATCCTGATGAGGCCAGGCACTAGGGGCTAACAAGGGGCATGCTATGATGTTGCATGGGTATCCCTCACAAGAGGGCCAGGACCCTCCTTCTTCCATCAGGTCTTCGTGTAGTTCTCCAAAGTCTAATTTTGGAAGTGGATCAGAAATTGAAGAAGGCAGTGATAAAGTGATCCTTTGACAAATTTAGACTCAGAAGTTCTGACCAAGGGAAGTTTCAGGAAGCAATCAGGCTTAGTCTTCCCATATTTGCAGATATTCTGCTCAAAAGATCAGGTATAAATGCTCTCTGATATCCATTGCCACCAAATGTTACTGGTGCTCAAAACTGTGGGCTCTGAAAGGTTAGATTTTTGTTTCAGTATCAGAAAACTCTATATCAAGTAGCATAGGATTTTCTTCACTTTTATAAGAAATCCAAGAAGATAAATAAACCCTCAGTACAGGGTTTTTTTTGTGCAGGCTAGAAAGTAAGAATCCCTGTGCGTAGATCACTCCGTGGGTTTCCACTCTTAAGATTTCTTACATGCTTCTTCAAAACACCCAGACAGTATAAAAGATAAGAGTGAGCTATATGAACTGCAGGTAGAATCTGGTATGGCTGTTCCTACACTGGCACCCCACTAAATATGGTTGGATTGCGTAGGCGTCTCACAGTGCCACCTTAGTGGCGGATCTGGCTTATGCAAACTGTGTTCCTGTTTTCAGAGGTGTGACAAACATTTTCACTCCTAAACACAAATTAAAGCAAAAACAAACAGCAAGAACACTGCAAGCCACCTTCTTTGCAATTTGGAGAGTTGCTAGTACCTTCCTTTCTGCATTTTGGAGAGTTTGTATTTGGCATGATGACTACTGAACAAGAGGTCCCTCCAAGCTATCCTCTGATAATGATTGGATCCATTATCTTATAGACCAGGAGCCAGTTGCCTGTTTAGCCCAGCTGACTTTCTTCAACAGAAAATCAGAAAAAAGAAGAAAGGCTGGCAACACAGAGACACAGAAGGAAAAATGGAAGGCAGGAGAATGCTATACCTCACTCACTCCAAGGATCATACCTGCATGTTTGCAAGCAACGTGGAATACTTTTTTTTTTGACTGGATCTCCCAGTCAGAAGGAGGCTGAAAAAAATACAAACTTGCATTCTGGGCAATGTTTTATAGCACCTATCCTTTAGCCTTTGGTGCATCCTTCTGATCCTCTTTGCCATCACCCTTTCAATCTGCATTGTCATCTTCCACTGTGACTGACAAGCATAGTCATTGAAATCACCAGCAGCCTCTCTACTGACCATTGCAAGATCATCCATCTTGATACCTTCATCCATCTCAGGGATTTACAGTTCACTTTAAATTACAGTGCAGTAGTTCTGACAGCTGCTAAGAGCTCTCTCTGACTAGGGGGTACTTAGCAACAAGAAAGATAACTGTACCTTTATATTTATATTCTTCTATGGCATTCATCACCATGAGGGAAATCCTTGCCTGCCAGGTTACAAAGTCTTTAGGATGGTAGTGTGGGCTCAGATTTGACCCGCAGTCCGGAGAGAGCTCTGCCCTCAGAAAAGGAAATCCATTACCTCCAGCTCAGTTGGAAAGCCTCCGTATCTAGAAAAATGTTCAGGTGAAACAGATCTGTTTTCAGTTAGGCATGATCCCCAGATCAGGCTTCCCATATTCTTGAGGCTCACTCTGAAAGTTTTGCACAGCTCTTGAGCTAATGCACGGTGCATTGAGATGTGTACTCTGACTTGGCTTCCAAAGAACAGCAGAGCACCTCAGGGGGCAGGGAAGGACAGCAGTAGCCAAAACCAGAAACTGTACTCTGCAACTCTCTGAACGCTTCCATGTGCTCTATCAAGCCCTGAAGCCAAACTTGCAAAACCTCTGCTATTGACTGGACCCCTTATCAGCACAGATCCATGTTCAGGATAGTGGGTGCAATGGTTTTGCAACATCCACAGATACCCACGGAGGACTAGACTGAGGCTGAACTCTTTGTGAACTAGACCATAAAACCAACCAACCGACCTCTGCTAAAGAAATACTTGGAAAAAAGCTGTCACGCTTTGGAAAAATCTGAAGCCAGCAATCCTCATCATGAGCTTAAGTAACCTACTGCATCACATTTGACTTTTTCCCAA